AAAAAGCCGTTTCGAAGTTTCAGACGTCGACGTAATTAACGTCCGGCAACGTCCGGCTCGAATTTCGAGTCGCACGGCGGCGACGGCGGCGGGGCGACGGGAGGAGCGGGAGGGGGGAGAGCCGAATGATCTTGCGATTGTTACTTGCGCCGGTAAGTGGCTTTTTTCGGCCGCGAGGTGATTTTCAGCGCGCCGCAAAAAGCGCACGGCGCGGCGCGGCGCGGCGCGGCGCGGTTGGCTGAGAAGGTGCTCTCATTAATCTCGCGCCTTTCAACTTGCTTCACGGCCTGTCGGCTCTCGAATTACATGCATTCGCGCAACACGCTCTCGTTTATAACAATAAACGCGGGGGATACGTAATTAATATTGACTGGCCGCGGCGGATTTCTGTCAAACGGAATCCCGTCGCCGTCGCGCGCGAGATCGGCGAGCCGCGTAGAACCGCCACGTCGCTCTCGCGATCCGCTCGCGTGATTGGACGATTTGGGCGAAAAAGTGGCACTCGCGTGATAAATTAAGCGGCCGTATAATAAATTTCTATCCGCGCGACAGCTATCGCACTACGCTTCGTATTGCGATACGCTTGCTCGTATTTCACGGGGTAAGAAGGCGCGCGGAGATATATTTATGCGCGCAACAGCCACGATTTCGCCGCTGATTTACGCAATTAAAAGTCTCTAATAATGCGTCCATCGCGTCGTCGTCGTCGTCGTCGTCGTCGCCGTCGCCGGCGCCGTCGTGAGCGGATTGTCGACGGCCGCATTGTCGGACAAATATTTATATCTGATTTACGCCGGCGACGCGCCGGCTATAAGAATGAGGCGGGCAAGGCGCCGGTACCAGGATACGCGCATTGTTCGCCGAGTGATGGATCGGAGTAGTACAAAAAGGTTATTTACCCTGCGAAATTAATCACGTCCATTCACTGGAATCATCCGCATGCGGGCCTTTGTGACGTCACCGTCTTCTTTTTAGCGACCGATAAAAAGACCGTATCGTAAGAGAGCTGCATGGAATTTCGAGGAGAGATCGATCGAAGCATCGGTGAGGCGCGAACTTCAATACGCGCGATGCTACGTTCTCTCTCTCTCTCTCTCTCTCCTTCTCTCTCTCTCTCTCTCTCTCTCCTCTCTCTCTCTCTCTCTCTCTCTCTCTCTCTCTCTCTCTCTCCTTGGGCGAAATTCGGAAAGTTCGTTTCGGTGCGAAAATGGATTCTTTTTTCGTTGTCTTTTTTTGCACGCGACGGAAATCCAGGCTGCCGTATTTATGAGAGTGCTTTCATCGCTCCGAATTCAGGGAATTCAGAGAATTAAACCTCGAGATTTTTTTATGGGCTGTAATATTTTACGCTGCGGTAAACATTCATAAAAGGCGTTTCCGCGTAAATTCAAATAACAATATAACGCGGCGGAGTTGTTGGTAAATAAACCGCGAGAGATGCGCGCGTTTAGGAGATAAATTTCACGATCGTTAGTCTCGTATTAATACGCGCCTGACTTTTAATTAAGGGCACAATGCGCGAGGGGGGCGAGGGGGAAAAAATGCGCGGGAAATGGGAAAAATTCATGCCCCGGCGACTTTGCGCGCGCGCATTAGCTTATTTAAATGAGACGGTAGGAATTTTCGCGGGTGTTTGCGCATCGTTTAAGTTAAGTAATTGGATAAAATGGGATAATATTCTCCGTTATATATTAAATTACGTTTACTCGCGCTGCGCTTTTCAACGCCGCTCGGACCGCTTTATTTGCGCAAACGATATGATTTAATTCTCCCGGTACTTTCTCGCCAAAGAAAGACGTCAAAATGCTTTTTCCTTTCGCGTCTTAATTGTCTTAATGACCTTCATAAAGGTCGACGAGGTGTACGAGCTTGTTCACGGGGTCGGATGTTTTCGCGCAAGTTTTCGACGACAAAGGTGATAGCTCGCTTCGTTATTAGCAGGACACACATTTGACGCAGGCGATTTTTCAATACGATCCAGCTGGGAATATTATCGCGTATATTCAAATGCCGCGCGTCAAATGACTCTCGGAATATTTTATTTATACGCAAACAACATCGGTAGGCCAATTTGCCGCGACTGCGCGATAAGTTTTCAAAGCCGACTGCCGCGGACGTGCGTGAATGTCGCGCGGAATATTTTCGACGAAACAATCCGCGATTGCACGCGTCTACAATTTGTGTGCAAGTTTCGTTCCGCTCGATGTCCAGCGCCGAAAACAAAAGCGATCGTTGCCATACTCGTCGGGGCTATACGCCTGGGACTATCGCGTTTCGTTAAACTCGGCGCTAACAACGTTAATTTAAATATCGACGAGCCTCGCTCCCTCCTCGCCCCCCCCTTACCCTCCCGTTTCCCCGCTCCGCCTGTCGGTCTCGAGATCGCGAAGGCCGATGTACCTGTCCGTGTAAGGGAGACCCACCTGAGCGATTTAATAATTATGCGGCTCTCTTCTCGGAGTCGAAACGGGTCCCTCATTAAACGCGCGGCGTAATTTGTTGACTCTCGATTTGATGTGTAACTCGTCGGACACGCCGACGTGGCCGGCCCGTCGTCGGGTTATCATTATCGTGATACGTGTAACAACATAACGACGTAAGAACGAGCCCATTTTTCTGCTCGCAACCGGGACCTCGCTCCGAGAGACGCGAGCGGTGGGGGGGGCGCGGGGAGGCGTGCGCGCGCAAACAGCGGCTTTTCATCGCGGCGAATAATGCTGACCTATTTTGATTAATTAATGCGCGATCTCACCGCGCGGCAGCGACGTCGCTCGAATGATTGAGGATTACACATGCGAACGGTAAATTGGATCTCGGATCGGCGGATATACGCGTTAAACGTCCGAGCGGCTTGATATTTAAGGCCGCCGGGGTGATTTTTCAAGCGGTCATTATACGCGGCCGCGGGATATTGATTAACTTTCGTCGATCGCGCGCGTTCGCCGTGCCAAAACGGCAATATTCGCCGTTTGTCGTTTGTCGAGCGATCGGTGATTTGTAGCCGCCGCGCGCGACCGATCGGGAGATCGCGCGATTATCCGAACGCGCGGGCGTTCAATGCGAATACACACACGGTGTCCGCTCTATTAAGCCTACGTGTCAATGTAAAATCGCAGATGATCCGTGACGCGCGGTACGTTTCCTCGGGCGACGCTTTCTGTCGCGCAGAAAAACAAGTCGGGCGACTTTGCGGATAGCCGCCGCCGCCGCCGCCGCCGCCGACACGAATCTAGCCACGTCGTCGTCGTCGTCGTCGTCGTCGTCGTCATTCGCGGAAAATTATTAACCCGATGAAAAATGACGGTCGATCGAAGGACAGGAGGCGCGCAGAGAGCTCTCCTCTCTCTCTCTCTCTCTCTCTCTCTCGGGAGAGAGAGGGAGAGAGATCGGACCGGACAATATATGGAAATGGTTTCTCGCCCGGCAGGCCTCTTTCTCGACGAGCCGCACCGCGCCGGCCTGACGATACTAATTACCGCGCCGGCTAATTATTCGCGACTTTACAAAGTGCCTGTCAAGAAAATCTGTTATTTTCCGTGAAATACGATCACGCGGGCGGGGCAGGGCGGCGCGGTGCGGGAGGGGCATTACGTACTCGCAACGGGCGGTAATAATAATAAAGCGTCGCGAAGATTGCCGCGCGCGAGCTTAAAGCGCGCGCTCGCGTACGCGTATCATAAATAAATCAGCGTTCGAGGCGATGCACTCGAGGCGTCGTTTAATGGAAGGCCTGCCCCGCGGAATGTAATTCGCGCCGCGCGGATTGCCGTCGTTCCCCTCCTCCTCCTCCTCCTCCTCGCGCCCCTACCACCCGTCGGAAAATTCACAGCCGCTTTATTACGCGAGCGAAATGCCCGCGGTTTAAGCGACGGACGTCGCTTACGTAATCCCGCGGCGAGATTTATGAACGGCGAGACGCGTTGTTCCTTCTTCTTCTTCTTTCTCCCCCTCTCTCTCTCTCTCTCTCTCTCTCGCTCTCTTTCCTTCTCTTTTCCCTCTTCCCTTTCTTCGCGCGTGCGACGGCGGCGGCGATACTCTGGTCGGCGCGGCGCGATGAAATTCACGGCCCAAAGGGCGGCCGGCCGGTCCTCGCGCTCGCGGAGCGGCAGGCGCCGCGCAATTTTTATCCCGCGTAGCCGACGGCGAGATAAACGGAGTCGTTGACGGCGCCGGCATTTTTCCGCGTAGCGAATCAGCCGGCCTCTCGTAAAAAGCGGCCCTGGAACCTGTTACGTCCCGAGAGCGGCTCCGCTCGATCATCGCTCGCTCGCGCGAGCGCGCGATTAACCGTTACCGAAGCTTTTGATCGCGCTCACCGCTTTAGCTTTAGGAAAGAGGAAAGGGTGGGTGTCGCTTTTCACCGCGCGCACATTTGCGTCGCCGGCGTCGTGACGTTCGTGAAATATCAATCGTCGCACCCGGGAGCGCGCGAGGAGACGCCGCGCCGCGAGCATTCCGCGATATTATTAATCCGCGTCGTTAGCGAATTAATCCTCCGTCGCGCGTGGCAGAGGAGGACCGAGAGGAGCAGAGAGAGAGAGAGAGAGAGAGAGAGAGAGAGATGCTGAGTGGGTACGAAAGCGAGGCGAACGTGCGATTGCTCGAGAGCACGGGACACGACTAACTAACCGGCCGGCCGGCCGGCCGGCTGGCCGAGCGATTGATCGATCGCTCGATCGCTCGATAGATCCCGAGAGGTGCGCGCGAAGACGCGCCGCCGAGGAGCAGGTCGCTCCACTCTCGCGGGCACTTCGGAGTCGAACACGCTACAGTCCGACTTGATCCGGCGTCTGCACTCCCGGCGACGTTCCTGTCGCGAGTCCTACCGCGGGGATCAGCCCGGCGATCCTGCGGGCAGCGCGCGAGCACGTGGCCGCGCGTTGTAAGTCACTCTCGTCGGAGGTCCGGGCGAAAACGGCTCTCACGGCTCGGCCGGCTTGCACGTTCCGCATCGTTTCGCGCTACGACCGCCATACGCGACATGCAGATCGCATACGTACCTATCGTGCGTAGCCGTGACGTCGATAGCCGCAGCACGTGGCGCGTTTCCGGAGCACCTGCGGCACTCGCGCTCCCGCTCGCGCTCGCGCTCGCGCCTGCTCCTCACCGGAGCCCTGGCTGCTCGCGCGCACCTTCCCGACGACACCCCCGAGCCGTGTATCCTCGCTCGGAACGACCAACTGGCACTGCCTCGCCTGCGGCGGAGACCCGTCTCGCCTGGGAATTCACTTTTCGGCCGGAAGTAGAGAGACGCGTATCACGGAATCGTACCTGAGACGGGAAAAGAGAGGATAAGAAAGTGAGACGGAGAGAGAGAGGGAGGGAGGGAGGGAGGGAGGGAGGGAGGGAGGGAGGGTGGGAGGAGGAAGGGAGAGAGAGAGAGAGAGAGAGAGAGAGAGGGAGAGAGAGAGAGAGAGAGAGAGAGAGAGAGAGAGTGGCGCGGCGGAGAAAGAGGAAGGGACCAGGAGGAGAAGGAAGAGGGATCGCTCCCTACGTGGAAGAAGGTAACCAGGTAACTCTGGGCGAGGGCGACGACGAGGAGGGATGGTAGAAAGCCGACGAGCGACAGCGCGGAGAGAGATCAGGGAGGACGCGGCGGAGCGGATGATAGACGGATAGAACGCGGATGCCGGCCCGCCGGAGAAGTCGTGGGCACGATCGCCGTCACAACACTAGTGGCCTGATACACTCTTCTGGTGGTACATACACACGGTCCGTCTCCCTGTCTCCCTCGCTTCTCTCTCTCTCTCTCTCTCTCTTTCTCTCTTTTTCTCTCTCTCTCTCTCTCTCTCTCCCTCTGTCTCTCGTCGTCTCAGTCTCTCCCGCGAGCGCTCTCGACTCCTTCTGCACGTACGTGCGTTTCCTCCCGGTGCACACACCGTGCGAACTCGCGTGTGCATACGCGGCTATGCACACACACACACGCACACACACACACATATACACGTGCGGCCGCGCGCGAGCTCTTGTATGCGTGTGCATGTGCTCTCTCGCCTCTCCTTTTTTCCGCCTCCTCTCTCGTCGCGTAGAAGGGAACTCGCGTTCCCTCCTCCTACTCTCGTTCGCGTCTCGGCCGCCCGCGAAAGCACACACCGCGACAGGGCGATCTACTAGGTGAGACTAGTTCCTCCACCCAGTCGTGGACCCGTTTTCTGTGCGCCTCTCTCCTACGGTCTCCTTCGTCGCCGTCGTCGTCGTCGTCGTCGTCGTCGTCGTCGTCGTCGTCGTCGTCGTCGTCGTCGTCGTCGTCGTCGTCGTCGTCGTCGTCGGTCCGTTCGTCCGTCCGCCTCGCCGTCTCCCTCTACTTCTCTCGCCCGTTCCAGCGCGCGTCTCATTCTCTGTCGTGCACGGCTCTTCTCTCGCGCTCGCCTCTCCGAGGATTCTTCCTGATTTTACGAGCGACCAGCGCGCGCGGCACCGTCGTCCTCGCTCGTCCCGGATCCCGGCTGATCTCGGCGATCGCACGAGTCGCGGGATGGGACCGGCCACTGGGAGGAACATGCCGGCCGGCTCTCGGCTATGGGCGACATGGGAAACGGCCCGAGAGAGAAATGGGACTGTAACGTTCTTCATCTATCATTCTGAAATTATATTTCGCGAGGATTCGTGTGCGTGCGTGCGTGCGTGCGTACGTGCGTGCGTGCGTGCGTGCGTGTGTGCGTGCGTATAGGTGTGCGTGCGTGTGCGTGTCTTCTCGTCAATGGCCGAGCGGAGAAGTCTCGCATGCATCGGGGAATCTCGCGGAGAGAGACGCGATTTCCTTCCGCGTCTTCTCCTTTATCGCCATTTGGCCCCGCCGCTCCTTGAGCCGGGCTCGTTCGGAGGACACGCGAGAGGATGCTTCCTCCGGCTTTACGAGCTCTTATGACACGCTCCGACGACCCGCTCGAATTAATTGCGCGATATACCGTTCCGTGCTCTCGATGGAACCATCAAGTCGATACAGCCGGCAATACCTTTCTCAGAGACGCCGAGAGATGAAAAATGCTCGCAGCGGCGCGCAAGATGGAGATCCCGGGTGAAATGAATTTCATCATCGGCCCGCGCGAGTTTCCCAATTTCCCGCGAGAAGAATGCACGGGTTAATTTTTTCCAAGTCAAAACTGATCCAAGCGTGGCAACGGGGATCGGCGGGGAGTGGGGGGGGGGATAAGAGAAACGTGTAACGCGGGTAATTAATACCCGCGAGGAAAGAGAGCCCGCGCGCGGAATCCGAGCGCGCGGAACACGCGCTGCTCTTTCGCTTCTCGCTTTCCGTGCCGCTTTTTCGCGCGCGTTACTGTTTGCCCACATCCTTCAGCGCGCGCTCGCGCGCGTCCCGTATATTCAATTTCATTCTTACGTCCCGTGTGTATTTAATCTATAGATCGACAACCGAGGCATGAAGGAAAGGCACGAAGCGTGATATCGCATAATCGCGCGTACCTATCTTACCCGGCGCGTTTCCGCCGCTGATCCGATACTCCAATATGTATGCACCGTCGGCTATTTCTTTCTTCCCCGGACAGTGATAAATTTATCGTTACGTTCATTCTTAATCCCTTCGATTCGCCGTCCTTCTTCTCGTATCTCTGTCCTGTCTCCCCGCGGAGGGATTCGCCCCCGATTTCGCAAGCGGTCCCGCGGAGCGTACTCTCCGCCGGATGGATCCACTCCGACGGATTGTATCTCTCCTCATTGAGCCCGCTCGACCGAAATCGGGCTCATCGGCATCCCACGCGTAAAGGAGCTCCGACATGTAATGCCGAAATGGGAGGCGAGCTGGGATCGCGCACGTGTACAGCACCCGAGAGAGAGAGAGAGAGAGGGAGAGAGAGAGAGAGAGAGAGAGAGAGAGAGAGAGGGTAGGAGGGAGAGAGAGATGGAGGTCGGAAATGTCGGTGCGGGGATTATGTACGTAAGCGATGCCAAAGAGGAATCTCTCCGCCAAGGAAGCTAAAACGCGCAGCAAACCGTTACCGCCGCTTCAAAGAGATAGTTCTTTCACGGACATTAAATAAATTGCGATAAGCGTTCGTAATTGGCGGAGAGCCGGCACTGCGAAAGAATAAAGTCTTCAGTTTCTTCGATAAGTCGCGCTGTGCTACGCTTTAACGGCTTGAGAAATGAGTGCACGCTCGACGATCCGACGCGCCGTTTCGGCAGAAACGCCGAGGATACTCTCCGAGGACACTCCCGATGTGAACTTTCCCCGACCGCTGACGTAGCGACAATAATTGTGGATGATTATGCAAGAGGCATATCCCTAAAATACATAAGATAAGTCCGGGATAGATGGGCATAGGAGATGGATGATCAATTGCTATAATTCTGTTAATACATGCTAGGCGTCAGCGCTGATCGGTCAGTTGTGAGTCGGATATACCACAAGTAAGTGTGTCTCTTCCTGATGTGCAAAAACACTGTTATTGTGAATAAATAAGTGTTTTATGTTTCTATTAACCTCCAAAATGTCTCACACGTCGGAATCACATATCTTGCGAATACGGTTTATTTTGAGTTGCAACATTAGACCTGACGGCTAAAAGAACACCGTATTTGCGTACTTAACCTCAAAATTCGTCATCGAGACTACGCTTCACGCGGTATGCGAATTTCTTTACGCGAACTCTCCAAACGGGATAGATGGTTCATTTTTATCAGGATTAGATGGACAGCCTACTCAGCGAGAAATAGCAAACAATGGATATCGGATCGACATTTTCTAGATGCTTTAGATGTATAAAAGACGTCGATCCGATATCTATTCGACTATCATTCTTCCTGAGTGCCTAATATTGAAAACTACATTTTAAACAGGTTCTTTTTAATAAACATTGTAAAGGACCATAGGGCTCTTTCCTGTATTGCCACTTTTCAATCTTCGTTCCTACGTTATCCTTGGTTTTTATAAGAAACTTGTGAAAATGTTTTATTTTATTAATAATTAATAAAAAGATTAATGAAAAGGTTAATAATTAATAGAAAGTAGTAAAATACTGAAAAGTAGATACTAAAAATAAAGATAAACAAATGTCTACATTATTATAGCTATGCCCAACTATCCCTTCAACTATCCAACGTACAACCATCTAACTCGGATACATCTGACCATCTATCCCCCCTTCACAGAATATTTTTAATATTTCGTTATTATTGGCGTCCCGTGAATTTTTTTCACAAAAATTCTTCTGCACCCTAAACATTATCCTCTACTGAATATGTTAATATGTTGTTGATTATTTATCGCAACAATACAGTTGTGTTATTTCCAATTAAAAAAACCATGTCCATCTATCCCGGACTTACCCTATGAAAAAAAAAAAAAGAATAATAGAAGAAGAAGAAGAAGAAGGGGAAGTATATGGAAGCTTCAAGAGCCGTTCTTTATCTCGCGTCGCTTCGAGTCGCGAGCCCGGCGTGACGAGCCACAATGTGGCGATAGAAAGTGCTTTTACCACTGCGGAGCAGATCTACGCGCCGCAGCGGTCAATTTACACGCATAACCACGTATTATCGGCCCGCCAGTTGATCTCGTCCAGCAGCAGCAGCAGCAGCAGCGGCCGCGGCCGCGCTGCACAGCCGAAGGTCGCCGCCGTCGATTCTAAAATCCACGAATGGCCGGCCCACGCGAGCCGCGAGTTCGTAGGACGTGCGAATAGCTGCCAGCTACCTGCTTATTATCAAGCGAATCGTTGCCGAAGTCATATATCTTCCGCGGACAATTAATTCACCGGCCGGAGAGAACGACAACGAGACGCGGTCTCGATTGGCTTGTCGTCGTCGTCGTCGTCGTCGAGTAGCGAAGTAGCGGAGTAGCGTCGCGGATTTTCAGCGAACGGGCTTCAATGGACGAGACGAATTGCGACCTTACACCGTCGACAAGCGATAAATCGTGCGCGCGATCGCCGATAAAATATCACGTCGACATAAGGAGCTCCCCTCGCCTCTCCCTCCCCCCGCCCGCCCGCCCGCCCGCCCTTCTCTCTCTCTCTCTCTCTCTCGTCGCTATCTGCGAAGCGCAACTTGGGGACACCGTGGTCGGTGCCGGCTTAATAATGAATACGCGACGGGATCGATCGGGCAATTCGCGAGCGAGCAGCGCGGTAATTCAAGCGAGCGTCCGCTCGCCCGCGCCCGCGCCCGAAGAAGCGATAAATCCGACTGTCGCGCGAAGCGATCGGCACCGCGCCGATTAGTTAGCATAGCCGCCCGTGGTGCTCTCGCGCGACTTCTACGGCGCTTATACCCGGTGACTCGATGGTATTCGGCGGCTTCATCGTATATTATTCATGAGGTTATAGTCTCGGGGTACTCGCGCGCGCGCA